CTTCATTTGGGAATACAATTTAAGACTTTCTTAGAAATCACATGTAAAATATCCCTGGCAATAAACAACACTCAAAATTTTTCCTAGCCCTAACATACGATAGATCTAGTTTTCAAAGAATTAGAAGCTAATATAAGAAAACAGGCATACTACTAAAACTAGAGTAAGAATAACAGAATGAATACTTGAACTGGAAAGCAGTGCACAGATTTCTTTCTAAGCCTTGGAATCATCATTACAAAGTTCAGGTTCGGCACCCGTAGCACAGTGGTTACAGTGTCTGCCACATACACCAAGAGTGGTGGGTTCAAACCTGTCCTGAGGCCTGCTAAACAAGTGCAACGAAAAAAACAGCCGGGTTTTGGTCGGCGCCTGTAGTCCCAGCTACTTAGGAGGCTGAGGCAAGAGAATCCCTTTAGCCCAGAAGTTTGAGGTTGCTGTGAGCTGTGATATCACATCACTCTATTGAGGATGACATCGTGAGACTCCGTCTCAAAAAAAAAAAAAAAAACCTCATCATTATGAAGATCAGATTTGAGAACTAAACTATATTTACCCCAATCTATATCCCCCCCCCTTTTTTTTTTGAGCTCTCGGTAGAGTGCCATGACGTCACAGCTCACAGCAACCTTAAACTCTTGGGCTTAAGCTATTCTCTTGCTTCAGTCTCCCAAGTAGCTGGGGCTAGAGGCACCCGCCACAACAATGCCTGGCTATTTTTTTGTTGCAGTTGTTATTGTTGTTTAGCAGGCCTGGGCAGGGTTCAAACCCCCTAGCCTGGGTGTATGCGGCTGGCACCCTAATTGCTGAGATACGGGCACCTGCTGTACCCCAATCTATATTCTGAAAGTTGCTTTAAAAAAAAAAAAAGAAAAGAAAACCAACATGGTATCAAGTTGTTAATGGGAAATGTCTCTAAAAACATAAAAATATATTTTGAATGATACTATATAAGAAGACAAAAGAGATATTTACGTACAACATTTATATTCTGGACTATGCCATTGGTGATTATGACACTGATGAGACAGAGATTTGCCCTTGAATCTATGTCAAATGTGCAGTTATTTGGATTTAAGCACAGCAACAAAAAAGATACAAAGAAGCAATGACTAAAAAACAAAGTCAGTGTGAAAGAAGGATCCACCTAAACCTGGGGCATATTTTGGATAATAAACAATAGGTTTTGGAATAAAGGCAGAAGGAAAGGAGAGAAATGTACAAGAAACAAGTTCAGATAGTCATTTGAGAAAAAACTCCATCTTATAAAACTTATTTCAATTCTAGTCTTTAGTACTTATTTATGTCATGCCACCTCTTATTGGATATTTGGTTTCCTGTGCTGAGACTCAGAAAATTATCTTGTGGTTATGAAATAGCATACTCTCAAGATGGTTGACTGAAAAGTACATGTTTTGGCTTGCCATTTCTTTTTCTTTCTTTCTTTCTTTCTTTTTTTTTTTTTTGAGACAGAGCCTCAAGCTACCCCCTGGGCAGAGTGCTGTGATATCACAGCTCACAGCAACCTCCAACTCCTGGGCTCAAGTCAGTCTCCTGCCTCAGCCTCCCAAGTAGCAGGGACCACAGGTGCCCACCACAACACCTGGCTATTTTTTGGTTGCAGCCATCACCATTGTTTTGGCGGCCGGGGCTGGATTCGAACCCGCCACCTTAGGTGCATGTGGCTGGTGCCTCAGCCACCTGAGCTACAGGGGCCAAGCCCGGCTTGCCATTTTTTACAACTAAATTTTACTTTAAAAA